GAGAAATGCCAGGGGGCTACTTCAACATTCAGGGGAAGAAATGGATGGTGGCTTGCACGGGGGAGGTGGCAAGGGAGGTGGAGTCATTGTTCACAGCCCCTTCCCTCAGATATCCTCCCCCAGTACCACGTAAAGGAAGTAAGCGTAAGGGCCTGAACAAGCCCATGCCTTAGAGCACAGACAGGCCAACTCCAACAGTGCTGCTGAAGTTTCCTGTTGTCCACCTTCATCTTTATCATGTTATCACTGTCAATAAAGTCATTAGCAAACAGATACTGAGCATCTTATGGCATGTGGCCCTGGACCAGGTTCGTGGGTAGAGATGGATTAAAGGGGAGGGAAGACATCAACCTTTTCATCATTGACCACCTTCTAGGTCCTCAGCACCACACCTTGCCCCCCAGAGGTGGAGGAGTAGGCACCGAGGAAGCATAGCCACTGCCTCCTGACTTGGACTCCTCCATGGACCTTGCACAGCGGAATGACCTGCAGCTGACCAGTTCGTGCTGGGGTCTTGCTTTCGTCTTATTCCCTTGGAGAAGCAGCAGCTACTGCGTGCAGGAGGAGGGAGCTGCTGCTGTCTTCAGGCAGGCTCTGCCATTTGACAAATGGGAGTCATTTTCTTATGTATGAGGAAGAGATCACTGCTGTGGGCACCCACCTGTTTGTGTGGCCTGATTTGCTGAGCTGCTGCTCTGGGGCTCATTCAGGGATGAGAGCAGCAGTGGAAATACTCTAGTAAGGCAGGAGCCAGAGCAGACTTAAATAGTGGCATCCTTTCAGCTGGCAACCAGGAGTCAGAGCTTTGAATCAGCTTCATAATTTGAAAATTGGTCTCTGCATTGATGGCTTATTTTGTGCTAACAAAAGCCACCGGGGACACAATACTGCCTGCCTTTCCTCCATGGCACTGCTTTGGATTAAAAAATGTTGAGCCCAAGATGGAGATTTTCCATTCCTGGGATTCTTGGGGAATTGTGACCCCTTGTCGTGGGGGACCTGGCAGTACTCATAGAGCCTCCAGTCTGGGTGGGGGAAATTGCTTGGAGAAGGGGCGACCAAGCTGGGCCTTGGAGTAGAGCCCTAGTGGAGGAGCTTCGAGGGGCCACACCTGCCTCACCTGTATGTGGCTTTGTGTGGCAGTGCCCTTAGTCATGTCACTGGGCTATGGCAACATTCACAGCTGCCAGGACCAAAATACTGAAGGCTGTTTTCCTGTCTTCCAGCTGGGAAGAGGTTGACATTCCACTTTTCCCCACGGGCTTATTCGTATGTGCTTTCTCCAGATGGTGTGCTCCAGAGAGGTCCTTGTGCTCTGGGAACGGTTCACAATGTGAATGAGGTCACCCGTGGTGCAGGGTGGCTCATAAGGCAGCCTACCAAGGCATGGCTTTCAAAACCAGCGGCCATTTAGCTCTCAGATGCCGTGGTCTCCACACCCCGCCAAACAGCCTTTCCAAGGTGATGGATGTGCTCTCATGCTGGTGCCTCCTGCCTTCTTTCCAAACGTTGTCCAAACACTCCTTGGTTTTTGGAACTGGCAAGTGGTGTGAGGGAGGGTGATTAACAATGCTTGAGGGTGAGTACAAAGGTTAGATTGTGAAGACAGGAGGAAGGTGTGAATTGTTGAGGGCTTGCAGGAGAGAATTGGGGTCTGGAAAGGCTGGCGGCGTGGAGACATGGCTGCTTTCATGTAGGTGAGGGAAGAGAAGTCAGTCCAGGAATAAAATAGTCTGTTAAGCACCGTCAATGCCAAACAGAGAGCCTAGGAAGGAAAAATGATGTACCTCAAATTGAACAGTTGCAGCCCAATCTGGTGAACCCAGTAAGATAAGAAATGAGGTTGGGCCCAGTCACGCCAATGCAGCAAATAGGAACAGGGACACCTTCCATTTTGATCCATCTCAAAGGTTCCCTGGGTTACTAATGGGGCTGTTCATGTAGTGAATGTTGTCCTGTGAAGATCATGTAAACATAAAGGATGTTCTTGGGGTCAGAACCTTCAACCTCAAGGCCCATAAACCAGTAGGCAGTGTGTGCTTTGCTGTGGCCACATATGTGAGCACGCACGTGTGCATGCCTGTGGACTGTGTGTGAGATCTGAGGAGGCGGAGTGTAGTCTAGCATTTAATTGTGAGTCCTGTGTGCGCTGCAGAAATCTTCCATTGTCTCACTTTGTGACCTTTAATGAGTCATACGCTCCTTTGTTTTCTTATGTGTTAAATGGAGATACTCGTGCTTGCTGGTTGTTAAAGCAGTTCTCTTGCTTCAGGTGCCTTTATTAATTTAAATCCTCTCTTCTAATATTTTTCTCTGGGATCTTATAAGACAGGTGAAGGCCCAGCCTTATTGGGGTCTTCTAGCTTTATGCTTAGGTTCCATGCGGTGAGGGCAGGGAGCTATGTGAGAGAAGATACTTCTAGAAACTGTTGGGTTCTCCATGATTCTGACATTCTGGTTAACATACTTTACCCCTGAGGGTGCGGCAGCTGCCTGGAGCAGCTGGGACAGAGGAAAGGCAGAGGGTGAAGGGAATATATGGTGAGAAGGGAGTCAGCATCATGTTGAGAATATAGCCATCGATTGAGTATAGCAAAGAGGCAATTTTCTAGGCTTTAGGGGTAGGGGGGCTCTAATGCTACAGGGACCAGATGGCAATAGTGCAGGAGGCAACTGTCAGAGGACAAGAAGTCAGTAGACCAGCTGGTACTAAAGAAGACCTGATGTGCTCATCTTGGTATCATACAGGGTGGTAAATACGTGGCATCTGTGATACCATTCCCTACCCTTGGTGCCCATGCAGACATCACTAATCTGTCATGATATGCTTTCCTGTTGTACTCAGAAAAGTCTCAGAATCCTTTAGGTACAGCAGTTTGGACAGTGAGGCCAGTCAGTTGGCATAAGAATGCAAACTTTTTGTTTGTCACTGGTGTGATGATGGAAAGGACATAGGCTTTGGAATCTGGCAGAAATGACACCCCAGCAAGGTGAAAAATTGTGGCACTGAGCAAGCATATTTGTTGGACCTTTTTTGGTTGTCAGGGACAGAAACCCAGTTCAAATTAGCTTAAGCTAAGTTACTTAAGTACTAAAATCAGAAAGCTCAGGGTAAGGCTAGCATCAGGCACGGCTGGATGCAGGAGCCCAATGAGGTTGTTAGAGTCTGTCTCTAGGACAGACCTTCTGTGGGTAAAAATGTTCTCACTGGCTGAGCTGGGTCATGTGCTCATCTCTGAATTGGTTCCTGTGGAGAACAGGGCTGGTGGTAGGAATGATAGGGTCCAGACAGCAGGTCACACTGGGAGCAAAGATTATCTTAAAGTTAAAAGTAGAAGAATCAGCACCAGATAAGAGCTGGGGAGAGGTGGCTGGCAAGGTACCAAGTGTTCATCTGAATCCTGGTGAGTTGCAGTGAGGAGAGGTAAGGACTCCACTGGGTATCTATTTCTGGGCTCAGCAGCTTCCCTGGAAGGACCTTATGTACGCTGAGCAGAGGGGAGGATCACAGTGAGGGGATTGGAAGTGATGTACATGCATCTAGTCTGCCTGCTCCAGCTACAGTCTTTCAGGCAACTGACATGGATGGCATCCAGATGCCAGGCTCTCTGCCCACCTCATTCCCTGCAGCTGCTCTTAATCCTGATGCACCTGGCCAGTTGACAGATCTCAAGGTCATGCTTCTCTTCTGGGGCATTCAGGTTTAGGCTCAGCCTGGACTGATTACTTGGCAAACCTTGTAGGATTCTGGGGGAGGCACCAGGCTGACCAGACTAAGTATGTATGGTGTCTTAGGGACAGTTTTGAAGGCTCCAGTTGCCATTAAACCAGTGCACTGCAGGTGTCCCTACTTTGGACTTCACTGGTTCCTACTCAGGCTTCCTTCCTGCAGTGTCCCTCTATTCCACCCTGACAACCTGCCACAGGAAGGGCTTGGCTAGGTGGTTCTGGCTTGGGGTGTCTCATGCCATTGCAGCCAAATGGTGACCAGGGCAGCTGGGGGCTGGCTGGGGATCTGTCCCTCTGTGTTCAGTCTCTCTGTGTAGGGCTGGTGGGCTTCCTCATAGCAGCCTCAGGACAACCAGGCTACCTCTTGGGGTGTTTGGCTTCCCCCAGGGCCAGCATCCAGAGAGAGTTGGGTGAATGCAGCATTACCATCACTTCTGCTGTACTTTATTGGTCAAAACTCTCCAAAAGCCAAACCCATTTTGGGAGAAGGGCGAATAGATCCTGTTTCTCAATGGGAGGTGGATGTCAAAAGATTGACTAGCCTGATTTAAAACCATCACAGCCCCCTACCCCCCTCCTATTAAACCAGCACTCAGTGTCCTGATAGGTTGGAGATATCTGGATGTAACCTTACTTTGGTCCAACTCCCTCATTTTATTATATTTATTTTTACTTTTTGGAACTCAGGTGCAGAGATTTGAGTGAAGCATACTCTTGAATTCATTGTGTTTTTCATTATCGATTCATGCAATGGCTCTCTTATTCACTTCATTCATTCATTCATTCATTCATTCATTTTTCTTTTTATCTCCATATCCCACTCCCATTTTCCTCCTCACCTTCCTTAAACAATCATTCTGTTCTCTTTAATGAATATCATTTTATTTATGTTCTTATATAAATGTATTTTAATTTGCATATATTGCATTTTGTATTTGTCTTTGTTTGTATCCTGCCTTTCTTTAGCGCTGTTTCTGAAGTTCATATATGTTGTCATACACACATCTCATGTCATGTCTGCTTAAAATGACGCAATGAGACTAGAGAGGGGGAGTGACATATGCAAGGTCACACAGCTGAACCAGGACTAGAGCAGATTTCCTGACTTTTCTCAGCATCACACATTAGTGTTCCCATGTGCCCCCTCCAGACTGCAATAGTTTGGAATTAGGTTTTTAAGCAATTGTGGGTCTAGGATCCAAAGCGTATCACAAGGTGTCCTGTATTCTCCCTGGTGACTGTTGTCCTCTGCCCTCTTCTCCTGCAGGTTCCAACTATGGGAGCCCACGCCCAGCTCATGCCAACATGAATGCCAATGCAGCAGCAGGGCTCGCCCCCGAGCACATCCCCACCCCGGGGGCGGCCCTGTCCTGGCAGGCGGCCATTGATGCGGCCCGGCAGGCCAAGCTGATGGGAAGCGCTGGCAACGCGACCATCTCCACGGTCAGCTCCACGCAGCGGAAGCGGCAGCAGTATGGGAAACCCAAGAAGCAGGGCAGCACCACTGCCACACGCCCGCCTCGCGCCCTGCTCTGCCTGACACTGAAGAACCCCATCCGGAGGGCGTGCATCAGCATCGTCGAATGGAAATATCCTTTGTGTCCTGGTCTGGGCGGGGGGTGTGTCCCTGGGAGCCCCAGCAGGGCATGACATGCCATCTTACCAGGGCCCCAACACCTGCCAGCCGGTGGGCTTTGTTGTCCCTGATGAGCCTACGAAGCAGCTGTCAGACCTCCTGCATCTGCTGGGGCACTGTTACGGGCAGAGTTCCAGGCGCTACTCCGCACTTGATGAGTCAGAATCTCTGGGGATAGGGCCTAGGATTCTGCCTATATAACAGGCTCCCCAGGTGTGTGTTTCTTTCATGTAATAAGCAACATTTGAGAAAATAAGCGTAAGAGGTCATGACATACCATCTTACCTAGCTGAGCTTGCCCAGGGACCCAGATGTTGGGTTAATAGTGGTTTCATGCTACTTCTCCAGAACCTTCTTTTCCTCCCATGTCATGGCTCTGGCATAGTTTCATGACCTTCGTCTCTCTAGGGTGAAGGAGCCTAGGAAATGCACGACAGGGGTGCGCAGTGACTCTAGCTCTTGGTTCAAGGTCTCAGAGCAGTGGTTCTCAGCTTTGACTGCACCTTAGCATCACCTGGAAAGCGGTAACAAAATACAGGTTCCTGAGTACCACCCAGGCGTATTTTAAAATTCTCTAGGTGATTCTAATGTGTAGCCAGAGTGAACACTGGCCTGTAGTATTAAACAGAAATCCACTTTGTATGGAAACCAGTGGCTGGGTCCTTGAGACAAAATGGCTTTGAAAGGTTGGGCTCTCACTGTGGAATTGCAGCCCTCTTGACATCATAGGAATTGTAGGTGGAGATGGAAAGGACCTTAAAGATCAGTAGGTCCACCCCTGACTTTCCCTAATGATGACATTGAGCCCCACAGGAGTGACTCTCAGGTCATACAGTCAGTGACAGACAGGACTAGAACCCTGATACTTAGTGTTGGGCATTTTTATAATAATTCATTCAGACAGGGCTCTCATGGCTCTGAAGGTTCAGGATGGGAGTGTTGGGTTTCATCCATGAGTTTCTATGGAAAGATTTAGAAGTCTTAGGTAGTGGTTGAAAGCCCAAAGAAGATGACTCAGGGAGAGAAGAAAGTTTGTGTTCAGCAAGATGTGTTAGTTCCATAAATGTCTGAACCCCTCAACTCAAAAGTAACTTTAAGAGAATGCAGTTCAAGCCAAGTGGCTGCCCCAGAGCTGGCCAGTATGTGCTGAGTGGCCAAGCGTGGTCCTGGTTCTCAGACGACTGGGCAAGAGGCTCGGCTTTGGGTGGCCCCTGCAGGCCACTGTCATAGCTATTCACTCAGAATTATGGAGTGGGAGGCTGGGGGCCCTGAATGTCAGGCTTCCCTAGAGAGGGGACACTGAGGCCTGGAGAAGCTGCAAAATGTGCCCAGATCACACAGCTGGCAACTGACAGCAGGGTTTCAAACCCAGGCTCCCCAATTCCCAAATCCATGTACTTCCTACACCCCATACACCCATAGCACAGAAGAGAAGTAATAGGGCGGATATTCAGGGGACACCATCCTGCCCCACTAGGACTTGGATCTGGGGCCTTGAACACCCATCCTATTGTGGCCACCTGAACCCCCAGAGCTTTAGTTTCCTCATATCTAACAGGTAATAACCGTAGTCACCTCCCAAAGTATTAGGGCTGTAGAATCTGTACATGTGGAAGCATGCTCAGAAAATCTACCTTAGGAGACATGTTCAGTGAGTACTAGTTAACCTCCTGAGATGGATGGGTTCTTGATGCCGGTGACATACAAAGCCTGGGAAGAAGGGGAGAGAGGGGAGGTGACAGTACTCCACAGGGTAGGTGGGGGAAGAGTGATCAGGTTCCAGTGTGCCAATTGTGGGCCTCAGCCATCTCATTGTACTGCACCCCCACACACACTTGGGCAGAGGGGTGCTGTAGCCACTCTCCTAAGGAATATGTCCTCCATCCACAGGAGAGGAAGGAGACCCAGCCTGGGCAGGCTGGTTGGGTGGCATCCCAGATTGCCTTTGAAGGGTAGGTGTCAGGTAAGGAGATGGTCTGGTATACTAGTCAGTTAACGCTCTTGAAAGAGTGGAATCTGATGCCGCCATTAAGAAGACAAGGCAGTTTAAAAAATGACCTGGTTGTATCAGGGTGACACAGAACACTTCCAGGGCTTACCCAGTCCTCTGCTGCTGATGGCTTTTCTTATCTGCCTGATTTGTTTTTTTACTCATAATCTTCCCCAGGTTTAGCCAGTACTTTTAGCACAAGATGATAGATGGATAGCCTGGATAGGGGAGGAGGTGAAACTTAACAGTGCAAGAAACATCCCAAGTGTAGCCCTCCCCCACTTTGGTGGAGGGACCAAGCTGACATTTTGAGGACTGGATGTGTGAGGTCTGGCCTAGTTGAGTTAATGTGCCCTTGCCCTGGTTGGGGAGCACAGAGAATCAGATGATGGGAATGAAACTGACCAGCCTTTGAGCTGAATGTCACTTTCCTAAGCAGGTGGGGAAGGGCTAGGAGGGAAGAGGAATGTGTAGGAGACCTAAAAGAACTAACTTCCTTAAATGCCTCAGGCTAACTTCAGGATAGGTCAGTGCAGAGTTGTTCTTACAAACCCAGACTCTGGAAACAGGCTTCCTGGGTTTGAAGCCCATCCTTCCACGATCTCTGTGACCTTGGACACATTTACCTTTAACGTTTCACTTAGAAGTGGGAATAATAATTGTACATTCCACTTAGGGTGTTTGTGTAGAACAGTTAGAACAGTGCCTGGCACAGAGTAAGCTCCCAATAAATGTTAGCTATGTCCTCACTGTTGCCACCACCGTTGTCATCATCAACATCACCATCATCATCACTTGTTCCTTGGCCAGCTCAAGGGGCAACAGGCATGTTGGAAAAGATGAGTCAGTAGGTCTGGTTCTGGTCCTGGCTCTGCTATTTCCCAGCTAGGAGATGTTATTTATTTTCTATGTCTGTCAAGCTGGGAGGTTGGACAGGCCCAGTGCATGCTTTATTCTTGATATCAAGACACAAAGCAAATGACAACTTCATGAGGCATGCTTGGCAAATGGACCCTCAGCTGCACCCATAGGGCCAAGGAGGATCAATAACCAGCACACTGGCTGGAAAGCCTAGACTAGATAATTACGAAGATTCCTTGCAGACTCAGGGTTGCCTGTTAACAGACATCAGAGGCCATCTATGGCAGGGGAATGGGCACTGGACTCAGAGGTCAGGGAGTCAGGGTTTTAGTCGTGGCTAGTCAGGATCTGCTGTGGGGTCTTGGGAAAGTTTCTTGGGCTCTCTGGGCCTCAGAGGTTTGGACTGGCTGATCCTTAAGTCTCTTCCTACTTCAGGATTTGTTAACTTGATGAGTACAGGCTTCAAGTCCTTCTCCCAGGAATTCCATCTTCTTCCTCTTCCCCCCGTCAGACCCCATGCGCCATGCTGAAAACTTGATAGTGTCAGGGGTTGGGGGAGGTGGTGCTGGAAAAGCATAAACTAGGAGCTTCCTCTGAAGCTTCCCCCTTTTGACCTTTAATTGTGGGTGCAGGGTAGTATCACATGAGCTTATTTTTCTCCTGAGGTTGTGTCCTGTCCTGATATTTCGATAAATAAGTCCAGGCACAGAATCCAGGAGGGCACTACTGCTGGTGTGTAGGCTGTGGCTTGTCCTGCTAGATCCCAGCACATTTGAAGGGAAGGTGGAGAGGACCTAGAACGTAAGCCTTGCCCCTGGAACCAGGGCCCCCACAGCCTGGAAAGGTTTTAGATGTTCTGCATGGAGCTGTGCCTTAAAGGAAAGGTGGCTGTCTTACCCTAGAAACACAGTACACATGCTACCATGGCCTTGGGCATCCTGAGGCCCTGGCCACCTTCTGGTTCTCTGGAAGGTGTCACAGAATAGGGAGAAGGCAAAAAAAAAGCAAGAAAAAAAAAAGCACTCTGGACTTCAAATTAAAAGATTAAAAATAAAATCTCCAAATTCCGAATGAAAAACCTTAAAGTCTAGTTTTTGCCTTCAGTCCGCCTCTGTCCTGCCTCTCCCCTCCCACGCTTGAGTCCCTGGGTGGCAGCATGAAACCACAAGGAGAGGGGTGCCCGGGGGACTGCGTCCTGACTGGAGCAGGCCCTGCACTTTAAAAGCAACCTGAGCACACATGCGGGAAAATGAAGTCCAATGCAATCTAAATAAATAAAAGAAGGGAAAAAAGTTTTTAGAAATCTGTGTTTACTCTGGCACGCGACTGGCCTCCACTGCTTTTGACATATTAGGAAAAATTTTGGCGGGGACCCATTGGAAGTACTTAAAAAGGCATATGTTTCTTTTCAGAATACAAGGGGCTTGGAATGTATTGTTTAAACAAAATTCTTATGAATCTTTGATTCATTTAAGAATATATATGTATGTTTGTTTCACTTGTGCTTTCTGCAACATTAACTTCCTTAACTCCCTTCCTCAGACCATTTGAAATCATTATTTTACTGACTATTTTTGCCAATTGTGTGGCCTTAGCGATCTATATTCCCTTTCCAGAAGATGACTCCAACGCCACCAATTCCAACCTGGTAAGTCCACCATCCCACGTCTGTGCCTCTCTTCCTTGGTGGAGGACAGGCTCGGATCACATGGGTTCAAGCTGGAATGTGGGAGAGCAGTGAGACATGCCTGAGGCGTGCGTGTGGCGTGTATAGCAGCGCTGCCGCACGCGGACTCATGGCTGTTCTGCTCTTCATTCGAACCAGCACCCGTCTTATCACGGCCTGTTTTAGAAAGGATATTCCAACTAGGCGGTAGTGAGCTCTGTGTGTGTGTGTGTGCATGTGCACGTGTGTGTGGCGGGTCCTGTTCGTGCTACCACATGTGGCATGCATTAAAGGGCAGGTGTTTGTGGAGCTGACTTTCACTCTCCGGCCATTCGTTGTATTTAGGTGCCTCTGTCGATTGGTAGGGCTTGGTCAGGTGGTCTGCAGTATGGTTGCTTGATAAATAATTTCTAGGAAGCTTTTAGGAAAGTTTGCTTTTGCAGCCAAGATATATTATTTAGTTAAAAAGGTTTTATTTTCTTGGGAAAGGCAGCTTTCCATTTGGACTGCTGAGAGGCCGGTGTTGGCAGTTTGGGGTTAGAATTTGTCCATGGAAAAAGCATGGGGAGTGTTTACTTTTGGCTGAGTGTGAAGTCATTACAGAGGCCTTTGCTCCATCTGGGCATGGGAGGAAATGAGCTCTGGAATGCGGTTGGCAAAACTGGGGCACACGGGAATGCCTCTGCAACGGGCATGCAGAAAATCCTGTCTCTCCCCCGGCAGAGACGCCCTCACTTCTTTGTTCCCATCTTCCCACGTCGCCAGCACCTTCCCTTAATTGGCAAGATTGGACTGTCCGATGAGATCGTTTCTAACAGAAGCTGTGGGGTTACAAGGTTCTCCTTTCCATTGTTGCTGGCTGCTGATGACATCATGTGTGTAATTCTTTTGCTTTTTAACCTTTGATATTTTCTTTGGCCCTTCAGCAAATAAATCTGATGCACGCTTTAAACTTCTCTGCCATTTCCCAGTTTTATGGTTAGCTCCTACTTCGTATTGGGCAAGGTGTTCACAATGAGCCAGGCTCTGTGGCTTGGCTGGGGCCCTGTGTTGGGGACAGGTTCCACAGCTGGCCAGTGAGCATTGGGTGATGACATGGCCAGAGTCAGCAGGCAGAGCATTAGCTGCAGTCCACGTGGCCTTCTGAGGTGTGACCTTGTCTCTTTACAGGCGAGAAATCTTTACTGTGTCAAAATAAATATAAGCAAAGCATCTCCCAAATGGCCCCTGGAAAGGCAGGCACTCCTTCCATCAGTGGTTTGACTTCTTTTCTATGTGTCCACACCCTCTCCCCACCATGGTCGTCCAAAACCCCTGCAGTTTGGCACTTAATCTGTAACTGAAAAAAAAAGAAAGAATCCATGTGTTGTTCTGAAGCCAGTGAAGCTTTGGGTCTTCTCTAGGCCAAAGTAGTGCTGAAGGTAGGTAGAGGAGTTTGGTTTTGTCCTAGGCTCCAGAGATGGCCCCGTAACAGCTGTACCCTGGAGTTCCCGGGAGGATTAGTAGGGCAACCTGGGGAGCTGCACCAGAAGGAAGCAGGGGCTGGCAGATCTATGAACCCCCTGCCGCTGGAAGCAGAGGGGCCAGCTGGAGAGCAAGGGCCCTGTTGCATTACTGTGGAGCTGGAGAGAGGTTGCCAGGTATGGAGAATGCTGGAAGAACCACGGTTTTTAAAATCACACCACAGAGTGATGGAAGTACTCTAAAACTAGATGGTGGTGATGGCTGCACAACCATACAACTTTATGAAAAATCACTGAGTCGTATATTTACAATGGGTGAGTTTTATGATGTGTAAATTATACCTCAAGAAAGCTGCTTTTTTAAGAAAATAACACCAGCATGCGAGCCCAAGCTTGTCAAGGCCTCTCGGCAGCAGGGTTCTGTTGCCTTTGGCTCCTCTATTCCTTCCAACTGAAGGGTTAGGTAGGTGGAGGGAGAGAGGTGGTGGGGGCAGCCAGTGAACTTTGTCAGTGATGTTGCACTGGAATTGGGGGTGCAGAAGAGAGTGTGGGAGTTTGAAAAGGGGCTTCTGGTTGCTAAGGCAATTCCAACCTCTTTCAAGCCATGGATTGGGCAGTAATGTACTAAATTAAGGAAGCATGCTCAGGTTTTGTCCATCTGAAACACACACACACACACACACACACACACACACAGAGCCCTAATTTGGCTTGCTCTATCCATGAATTTCCTGTGATGGAAATGTATACAAACGGAAAAAATTTTTTTTTTGAGGAGGAGGCTGCATTTGCTACCTCTGCCAGTTCAATTTTGCTCTCTCCTCAGCTCTGTGCTCTCTGTCTTCTGTCCCCATCTCTGGAATGTAATAGATATGGATCTCAGTTGGCAAATTCAGGAGGGAAAGAAATGTAGTTTATTGTTACTTTCCTGTAACTGAACATAATGCCTGATTTGGGACTTCATTTTGCCTAGTGGTATAAACCTCATCTTTAGTTCTGGGACTTCTCTAGGGCCCTGTTTCATGGGGCTCTTGGCATGGTCAGTCCACACTGTTAAAATGCCTGTCCCTTCTAGCAGGGCCTTGGTCTTCAATCCATGCAGGCAGTATGGTCTCTTGTCCCCAGGTGGGGGGGTCTCTCCAGCTCTAGATCTCCCAGTCACTTCTGGGACTAAGGGAACGGGGAAGATTCCAAGGGCCCTTTTCAAGGACACACTTCAGGGTCTCACTCACTTTTGTTTCCTTGATGATACTTTTCTGTGTGCCATCTTGGGACAGATGTGCCTTTATTTGGGACAGAGTCACCCAATAGACTCCTTCTGTGGTCTTCCAGACTGTCATCAATGCTCTTACTTACACTCGAACTTCAGAGTCAGAATCTGACTCCTGTTCTCTGCTATTCCACTGTGTCCTACCTTCTCTGTGGCAGTGAAGGCCGCTGACGGGATCTGGGGACCACACTGGTCAAGGAGTATTAGAAAACCGCTAAAACAAACAACCAAGCAAAACCCACATCAGCTTATAGATCAGGATATTATTCTGGTCCATGACATAGCCAACACGAGTGTTTTGGTCTGGGCCCTGACCTTCCACTTTCTCTCTATCAAATGTTTCTTTGCAAAACTCCTTTATCCCCTGGCTTTGGTACATAGTTACTAAGTCTCCTTTCTCTCACCATTTCTTCATGTTTCTCCCAGCTTCTTTCCCTCTTCTATAGGAAATTTTACCAGGGTTCTCTCCTGGCCCATTTTTTTTTTCCTCTTTCTATACTCTTCCCTTGGTGAGCCCAGCTACTTCGACAATTTTACATCCCTTTCTAGGTTGGTTGTTCCTGGACTTATGTCTCCAGCTCTAAGCTCTTCCCAGGGGCCTGAACCAGCATTTTCTACAGTAGAGAGGCCTGGGGACCAGTGCAGTGACTTCTGAAACCAGTGATTGTTACAACCACCTGGAGAGCTTGAACCATACAGACTCCTATGCTTTGGTAGCTCTGATTCACATTTAGTAGTTCTGCAACATGGCCTAGGAATGCATTTAAAAAATTCCTCATTGGTGGGTGTGGGTGTGGATGTGGGTGGGGTGCTAATGGTAAGTCAGGTTTGAGAGATACTGGCCTCCTGGATGGAACAGAATTTGAGTTGGGCTGGCTTCTGTTCAAATCTTGGCTTCTCCACTTTGTAACTGAATCTAATTGGAAGTTCTTGAGTCTTTCTTTTTTCTTTTTAAATATATCTTTATTGATTTCAGAGAGAGGAAAGGAGAAGGAGAGAGAGAGATAGAAACATCAATGATGAGAGAGTCATTGATCGATCCCGCAACCCGGGCATGTGCCCTGACCGGGAATAGAACCCCGATCGCCTGGATCCTAGGTCAACGCTCAACTGCTGAGCCACGCCCGGCCGGGCTTGAGTCTTTCTTGACCTCAGTTCTCCAGCCTGTTAGATGGAGGGGCCTTTCTCTCACAGGGTTCTGGGGAAGAGTATAAGGCAGACAGTGACCATGAAGTACCCAGTGTGGTCTTGGTACACAGTTGTATGTGCCAGAATGTCTTGCAAACGTCTGTGCCAAGAGCCAGGACTACGTTTGGGATTCTTCAAGAGGCAGAACTTGCGTCTAACAGCGACAATAAACATGGTCTTATAGGGGGTCTGGGTGTTGGGAGAAAGCACTGATTTTTTTCGCTATTGGGAAGGGCATGAGAGAAGGCTTCGCATAGGAGGATACATTTGAATTGCATCTCACAATAGGACATGATTTCCAGACCAAAAAGGGCAGTTCAGGCTGAGGTTCATACGTGTGCAAAGATCCTGTGGTTGTGTCCTTTATGACCAAAGGATTGAGTACTGGTTTCCAGTCAATGAGAAGAGCCAGCTTATGGCCTGTGCCAATAGTCGAGCTTAACTGCAGGTGATCAGGAGACCCTGGAGATTTTCAAAGCAGGAGAGTGCTGGGTCCAGAGGTGTATTTTAGAAAGGGTGCTCTTGCGGCCCAGAGGGAGGCCTCACTCTTTGTGATGAGAAAAGGAAACTGCAGAAGTACAGATGATAGTGACAACAGGGATGGAGAAGGGGGGGGCGTGGATTTAGGAGATAATGTTGCCTGGACTTGTGACCAGTTTGATGTTGTGGACAAAGGAGAGAGCTGACTCCCAGGATGGTGATGTGGGTAACCAGGTGCCATTAGCCAGGAGAAGGTCTTTAGGTGAAAGGTCACAGTTAAGGGGGAGGGAATGAGGGGTATGATTTGATTTGTTAAGTGAGGAACCCATGGAATGTGCAGATAGAAATGTCCAATAATCAGTAGATACAGGTCAGGAGCTCACGAGACAGTTCATGCTGAAGAGAGAGACTTGGTGGAGAGTGAGAGGAGGTGACCCCCATGGCTGGAACCCCAAGATCACTGATGTATGCAGAGTGGGTGGAGGAAGATGAGCCAATAAAGGGCATAAGGAAGGGCTGGCCTGAGAGCTAGGAGGGGAAATCTGAGAGCATGGACCCTTAGAGGCTAAGGGAACCGAGTATTTAACAGTACAGCAGAGGGACTGGTTGCTAATTCAGACTTGCCTTTATGACAACTCAAGGTCGCTTACAGGAGGATTGGCCTGACTATGAGGAGGAGCTGGGTTTGGCTCAGCCTAGGATGAGAGGATGTTCATCTGCTTTTGTAGCCTCAGCGAGGCCCTGGAATAGTAGGTGCATCATGACTGCTTATTAATAATGCTTCAGTGACTGAAACATTTGTCTTGTCATGCCAGAATGTGGCCCAAAGTCATTTAAGTACCCCTAAAATGAAACTTTAGAACTCCCCCATTGCTTTTATAGTACTTTTATATTTTTAAAAATAATCGCTATTTCAAAGTTCTGCTCTGAGAAATAGCAAAGGAGAGATGACGATGCACCAACAGCGGTGGTTCTCAAACCTCAGTGCACAAGAGTCATATGGAGAGTTGGTTAAATGCAGATCCCTAGGCCCTGTCCTCAGAGCTTTCCATTCTGACTCTCGGGCGGGCACTGCCAGTCTGCATTGTTAACAGGCTCCACTGGCTCACCTGATGCCGGGATCGAGGACCGCTCTTTGAGTAGTGACCTAAAATGTAGCCATTGTGTCCACCTTCAGCTTGCTGTCTCCAGTCTGCTGTTATCTATCCACTGCTCTCTCCAGGAGAAAGGTGAGGTGTGTCAGCTGCCCAGAGGTTTCCCACTCTGTTGGGTTCAAGAATAATCTATTTAGCAAAGCACACTCACACACCGGAATTAGGAAAGAGTCTTCACACACACTTGCAGATTCACATCTGTCCTTACCTTGGCTCACACTTTTCTCTCACAGCCCTCTCCTTTCTTCTACCTACTTAATATAACCCCCATTTATTTTTCTAGCACTTGCTTTCTTCTCTTTCTGTGTTTTCTGGTGAAAATATTTGAGTATAGAATTTTAAAAGATCTTTTTCTCATTATTTACATAAAAGTCTGTTTTATGCTCCATCTAACATA